GTTTGCTCTGGGAGTGGGGAGAGACAGAGACAGGGACAGGAAATGGAGAGAGGCACACAGAGAGAGGCACACAGAAATAAAGTGTGTGTGTATATGTGGGTGTATGTGTGTGTGTGTGTGTGTGTGTGTGTGTGTGTGTGTGTGTGTGTGTGTGTATGTGTGTATGTGTGTGGGAGGGGGAAGAGAGAACCTGGCCTTGAGTACTGGTACTATCTGTCACTTGCAAACTGACCTTACTAAACCTGCTTTCATATATATGTACACATATATATGAATTATTATGTAAATAAGGAGATATATTACAAAAATATGCACTTCTCTTTTAAATCTTTTAAATGTGCTGTGTACATATACCCAAGGCTGGCATAGCGGGGCCTCTAATCTGGCAAGAAGATACCACCCTCCTTATGGGTCAGTTTTAGGCCTTTGCCTTTCTGACTGACCTCCCTGAGAGACATGCAAATGCCCATTCCTCCGGCTGCCTCAGGTCACCCGTATTGTATTGTTTGAGAGACTACAATCGCCAAGTTAACCCCACCCCACCTCCAATCTGCAGCCCTCGGAGGGGCTTACTGGTTGATCTCCATGTCTCTCCCACAGCAGGGCACTGCTCCTATACACCTTGCTGTGAGGCACAACTTCCCTGGTCTGGTCCAGCTCTTCATAGAAGCCCACAGTGATCTGGACGCCACGGACATTGTAAGTGACTGCAGAAACCATTCAGACCCAGGGGTCTCCCAGCATGACCTAGACTTGAGAAGTGAATTCCCTTTTTTAGCTTTCCGAGGTTGTTGGTTTATTAGATTCGTGTGTTTATGTGTGTATGTGCATGAGAGTGTCTGTGTGAGGATAAGCTACGTGTGTACCCTGGGGGGCCATAGGAGCATCAGATTTCCTGGAGTTGGAGCTCCAGGCCGCTGTGCGCTATCCGATGTGGGTGCTGGGAATTCTGCAAGGATCTTTTGCAAGGACAGTGCCCGCTCTTAACCACCAAGCCATCTCTCCAGCCCCTATTTATTTTATTGTATTTTTTGAGACAGGGTTTCTGTGTAATCCCGGCTGTCCTGGAACCCACTGTATAGACAGGTTGGCCTTGAACTCACAGAGATCCTGAGTGCTGGGATAAAGGCGTGTGCCACCTCGCATGGCTCCCATGTGCTTTCTGCACGCTTTACCCTCCCCCTGTCTTCTCTCCAGAGGCAGCAGACTCCCCTCCACCTCGCTGCCGAGCATGCCTGGCAGGATGTAGCAGAGATGCTCCTCGTTGCTGGAGTTGACTTAAGCCTGAGAGATAAGGTACTCTAAGCGGCCCCTCTCTCAAGTTTCCACTGTTCCCTCCCTTCGGGTCAGAGACACTGCCGCCAATGCCTCGCGCCTGCTCTGGGAGTGCTGAGGACCTCCTATGTGGCTCCGAAGTCTGTCCCCAGGACACCCTCTGTCCTCTGGGGCCCCTCAGCTTGTGCCCTGGTGGCCTCCTGTTTCACCCCTCCCCCACCAGACTGTTAGTTCTGTAAGTCATGTGGTTAGCAGCAGGGGTAGCAGGACCAGCCAGCACCACACTGCCTAACACCTCCCTGCACATGCAACAGAATTTGCATTTAAATTTCCCCAGTTTATTGTGCCTCAGGGTAGCTCCTTCCTTAGATGGCTGGAGGCCTCAGGGGAGCTGAAGGTGTGGGGTGAGGCCGGAGGAACGGGCATTTGCATGTCTCTTAGGGAGGTCAGTCAGAAAGGCAAAGGCCAGAATTGGGGGTCATATTCAGGCCAGACTTGGGAGGAACTCACTGCTTTGAGCTGAACCCAGGAAGCCGGCTGCAGGTAAAGAGCAGCTTCCTGTTTCACTGCAGACCCCTGCAAGTGATTGGCCGTGTGGGAGGCCTGGAGCAAAGGGTCTGTCTGGTGCCTGGGGATGGGTAGGCAGATGTGGCAGGATGGCCCATGCCATCTCACATGCTCTGATTTCTTCATCTGAGAAATGAGAGCGGGGACCTCATGTCATAGATGGGCTTAAAGAGTGAATGAAGGCCACGTGATAAGGTCTATACCTGTGGTTTTCAACCTGTGGGTCGTGACCCCAATGAGGTTACCTACCATATCAGATATTTACTCTACAGTTCATAACAGTAGTGAAATTATAGTTATGAAGTAGCAACGTATGGTTGGGGGGGCGTCACCACACCATGAGGAACTGTATTAAAGGGTCACAGCATTAGGAAGGTTGAGAACCACTCTTCTAGGCTTGTATATATGTATGTTTGTGTGAGTGTATATGCTCGTGTGTTTGGGTACCCATGGAGACCATAAGTGTGTGTATGTGTGTGTGTGTGTGTGTGTGTGTGTGTGCGCGCGCGCGCGCGCACGTCTTTGGTAATCAGAAGTGTATTTGTGAACCACCCAATGTGGGTGCTGGGATCCAATGGTCCTCATGGTAGGGTGGCTAGTGCTCTTAACCCCTGAGCCATTTCTCCAGCCCAGCTCTAGGCACAGTCAGTCTGATGAAATCAGAGGTGGTTGCTGGAATAACAGTAAGTCTAGAGGCAGCCCTGCACCACCCTGTAGGAACTCCAGCTCCCCTCTGCCTCTTCTTTACAGCAAGGAAAAACAGCCCTGGCAGTGGCCGCCCGCAGCAACCACGTCAACCTGGTGGACATGATCATCAAAGCCGAGCGTTTCTACAGATGGGAGAAGGTACCACCTCCATTAATCTCTCCTGTTGCAAAGCCTTGGCTGTGCATGGAGCTGGCTTTGAAGGTCGTAGCCTCAACCGATTCTGGGGACCCTCTCTCTAAGTGGGTGGTCATCTCTGCCTTGAGTACCACTAAGCTTGTGAGGACCTGGAGATGGGCAAGCACCCAGACATATTGAAATGAGGCTGGCTCAGTTCTGTGCTGGTGAGATCCTGGCCAAGGAATGAATTGGTTTGAATATATAAACTTCACGGGGGATAAAGAAATGGGGTGGAAACAGAGAGGTCTCTGGCTGGAGGCTTTGTGGAGGAAGTGGCATAGTGCTCTTTTGACTATGGCAAAGCGTTAAAAGTCAGGGAGATGAGTTCTAGATGGAGGAATGGTGTGGTGGTGTCCAGTGGTCAAGGCAAGACACAGTCAGACAGGGTGGTGGACATGAAGCCACAGGCCCATGCTGATTCAGGTTCCCGGGCTCCATGGCCTGTATCTAAGATCATGAGGCAGGCCCCAGACGGCTCCTGCACTTCTGGGATCTGCCCCACAGGACCACCTCTCATGCAGGGACACCAGCAACCCTTCTAGAAAGAACCTGACCTTTAAGCAAGACCATCGGCAGGAAACTCAGCAGCTCCGCTCCGTGCTGTGGCGACTGGCTTCCCGGTGTCTGAGGCCCAGTGAGTGGAAGAAACTGGCGTATTCCTGGGAGTTCACAGAGGCTCACGTCTGTGCCATTGAGCAGCAGTGGACAGGTACCGCCTTACCCCGCCCTACACCAGGTGGGTGGGGACACGTGAGATGCGTTCTGAGTTCTGTGCTGCTGGGGACAGACGCCTGTGGGACCCACAACCCAACCCCACTCGACTTCCAAAGCGCTCCTCCTGGCTTCTTGCACAGGCTGTGCGTCCCTCTTCCGCCTCCTTTGTGACCTTGAATTTTGCAGAATCAGCTGGAACCCATACCCATGGTTTATACACTCAGCTAACTCCGTTCCCTGTGGAAAAAAGAGAGGCCACTGTTGGCATTCCTTTTTAACATCTGTTTAGACATCTAGACCCTGGCACAAAGGCATGAAAAAGACATAAAGCTTATCATGCTGGGGCAATGACTTGGTGGGTATGAGCACTCGGTGTGCAAATGTGAAATCCTGAGTTCAGATCCACGTCACTCAGGTAAAAGCTGGGCATGGCTAGGTGCACCTTTAACCTCAGTGCTGGGAGTGGTGGGTGTGCAGATAAAGAAGGGTCGTTAGCGCTTGTTAGCCAGCCAGCCTAGCTAAAACACATCAGGCTTCACCTTCAGTCAGACCCTCCCAGTCTCGAGCGAGTAAGAGGAAACGTGATAGAGCAGGACGCTCGATGTTCCCCTTTGGCCCCCACATGCAAGGGCACAGGTGTACACACTATATGCACCTGCATAGACGCTAATGTACACCACACACCTATACATCATAAACAGAGAGGGGGGGAGAGAACATTAATACTAGAAAGGAAAAGAGCCAATTCTTCAAATGTTATAATTCCTATACATGAGGAAGTCCAGAAGACTCAAATGAAAAACGGAATTGATAACTGAATGAAATGGCTAAATACAGGATAAAATATACAAACACTTTGCATTGTCAATAGATGGGCCAAAAGTCGATAGAATTTTTGGAGATTTCTAATGAGCATCTAAGGCTGAGAACCATGAACCTGCACTGGGGTAAAAGCATGGCCAGCTGCCCCTCACTAGGCTGTGTTTTCATCTGTATATTAGATCCAGCATGTGCCTGAGGCAGGGACTGTGATCGGTTAGAGATGAAGCATGTAATTGGTATCCTAGTACCTTGAAGACATAAGCCATTGTTTTAGAGTAGACAGGTAGATGCCTCAGAGAAAACCTGAGGCCATGGAAGTTCTTCAGCCTGAGACACCAATCACAAGCCCACTCCATCTGAAAAGCTGTACCCTAACCCTAACCTCCAACCCAGGCCTCCTATAGCAGAGAAAGGCCTCTTTCCTGCCGGGTGCATTTAGGATGCAGTGGAGGATGGCATATGCATGCTCTGGGAAGGTACCATGGTGGCCTCTACTCTCATCATCTGCAGGAACCAGGAGCTACCAGGAGCATGGTCACCGGATGCTGCTCATCTGGCTGCATGGTATGGCCACAGCTGGGAAGAACCCCAGCAAAGCACTGTTTGAGGGCCTAGTGGCCATCGGCAGGAGAGACTTGGCTGGTAAGTGAGTCATGGCTGGAATGCTTGGGCCCTTGAAGGGCCAAGCAGGTGGCTGGTTCTGGGCAAACTAAGGGCTCCCTACCCTGTCTTGAAGTAATATCACCAGTGAACCCTGTTTCCTTCATAGCCACCAAAGTCACCAATGGCACTATAATCTTTACCTCCCCAACTGTCTCTGCCTTCTAGTTTGGAATAATGCTGAAACAGCCCTGAAATGAGCCGCAGACAGGCTTAAACATTGAGTCGAGCCTTCCGAGGCCAGCATAAGGTACTTAACCATGCCACTCCCAAAAGCCTAACTTGAGACCCCCATAATGGCTTGCCACTTTCAGACAAGCAGGACCAAAAGCATAATAATGGAACCAATCCCTCATTAGAGGCAAATTGTCTAATGAAAAAGTCTTAAGCAATGGAGTGTCCATCAACGTGGGCAGCCTGGGGCAGCTGCAGCGTGGGCTATCGGCAGTTCCTAGCAGCCATGAAGGCTACCTTATTTATGAGACAACAGGGAAAATAGTTCTTGCATGGTGGCTGTCCCACAACTCCTCTAGGTCACGTGAGGAAGTGCAGTCATTTCGAGGTGCAGGGATTAGGAAATAGCTCCTTTTGTTTTCCAGTAACATTTTTTTTTTCTTTTTGAGATACGGTCTCATGTAGCCCAGGATAGCCTCAAACTCAATTTGTAGCCCAGGGTGACTTTTAACACGTGATTCTCCTGCCTCTGCCTCACAGAGGCAGTGCTGAGATTAGAGGTGAGTGATAAACAACACACCCCGTTTTATATGTTGTTGGGGAGAGCTCTTAGGGCTTGGTATATGTACTTCATATACAAGTACATCACCACCTGAGCCAGATCCTCAACCTCATTTTCCAAAATACTCTTTAAACAACAACAAAAATATCTGGCTTTTAATTCCAGCATTCAGGAGGCAGATGCAGGAGACTTGCTACCAGTTCCAAACTAGCCTGGTCTACATAGCAAAATTTAGGTCAGCTAAGGCTATGTAGTGAGACTCTGTCTCAAAATAATCTACATGTAAGTGCTTGGAAAAAATTTAAGTTTGTAAAATTACTTTTATTATTGGCCTCCTGTATTTACATAAGTAGTAAATAAGATGTTAACAGTTTTTGTTTTGATATTTGAGACAGGGTTTCTCTGTGTAACAGTCCTGGCTGCCCTAGAACTATCTCTGTAGACCAGGCTGGCCTTGAACTCACAGAGATCTGCCTGCCTCTGCCTCCCAAGTGCTGGGATTAAAGGTGTGTGCCATCACCACCCAACTCAGTTTTTTTTAAATTGTTATTTTTGTTGTTGTTATTTTGGGGTTCTTTGCTTTTTTGAGACAGGGTCTTGGCCACCTGGAGCTTGTTATGTAGACCAGGCTGGCCTCAAACTCACAGAGATCCACCTGCCTCTGCCTCCCAGTGCTGGGATTAAAGGTGTGCACCACCACGTCTGGTCCCTCACATATTATTTAAATTTTTTTAGATATTTATTTTATCTGTATGTTTGCGTGTCTGTATGTGCATCAGAAGGTGCCAGATCACCAGGAAGGGACAGCGGTGAGCCACCATTCAGGTTCTAGGAACAGAACTCAGGACCTCTGGAAGAGTAACAAGTGCTCTTAACCACTGAGCCATCTCTCCAGCCCTCCCAGATGTTCTTTTTTTTTTTTTTTCTTTTTTTGGTTTTTCAAGACAGGGTTTCTCTGTGTAGCTTTGCACCTTTCCTGGGACTCACTTGGTAGACCAGGCTGGCCTCGAACTCACAGAGATCCACCTGGCTCTGCCTCCCGAGTGCTGGGACTAAAGGCGTGCACCACCATCGCCTGGCTTCCTCACAGATGTTCTTAAGAACAGCAATTGTCTTCCCTAGCACAAGCCTCACAGGAAATTAGGACATAAACCAACCCTGGGAGGCAGAGCTAAAGCAACTCCAGCAACAGGGGTCTTGTGTTCCACAGAAAGCACCAGGAAGATGGCAAATGGCGAGCCCAGGGCCCCCAGGAGGTGTACAGCCATGTGAGCTTGTGGGCACGCCTCGGGGCCGCAGCATGGAAGAGGATCTCCTTTCAGAGCCGTCCCAGCACACAGACCTCCGGCCGCATCTACTGAACCATAGACCCCAGCAGGAAACTCGAGTACTTTTTGGAGGATGGGAGATGGGTCTCTTCTAGGTTTTCTACTCATCCTATCCCAGGGGCGTGGAAATTGGCACCTCTCAGCTCACTTTATTGTATTCCTGGGGGTGTATATGTGTGTACATGCCTCACATGGGTGTGAAGGAGGCCAGAGGGTACTTGGTGGGTATTCCTCCCCAGGCACTGTCCATCTTGTGTTTTTTTGTTTTTGTTTTTGTTTTGAGACAGAGTCTCTCTCTATATTCCTGGCAGTCCTGGAACAACCTTGTGTTTTTTTGAGACAGGATCTCTCACTGACCTAACTAGACTGGCTGACCAGTGAGCCCAGTGACCCTCCTGTCTTGCCTCCCCAGTCCCGGGCTTACAAGTGTGTGTCACCATGCCCTGGTTTTTGTGTGGGTTCTGAGGGTCAAACTCGGGTCCTTATGTTGCATGGCAAGTATAGAGACTGAGCTGTCTCCCAGGCCTCTCAGCTCACTTTCTCTTCCATTATCTTAGATTATCATGAAGCACCCCCTTGAGGTGCAAGGGGTGTCTTTACAGCTAGGGCACTGAGGTCCAGGGAGGAGAAGCCCCTTGTCCAGGTCATACCACAAATCAAGTGGTATGAAACCTGCATTCCTCCAACCCCAGCCTGCAGGAAGGGCTTCATTCATCACCTTCAAACTGGATTGTCCTTAAGTCATTAAGGACAACTCACTAATCTCCAGTGCCACACAGACAGAAACTGCCATGCTGATCCCATAGCTGTTTGTATTTATAAGTCCGTTTGTATATGTTGACAGTTCATATACTTCCTTTTCTTCCCTCTACTTGAATAATTGGATATATAATTTTTAAATGTTTTTTTTATCTTGAAATCATTTCAGACTTACAAAAGTTGCAAAACAGTACTGAGAATGTTCAAGTGTTCTGCATGAAGCTTCTGTAAACGTTTGCTCTTACACAACTACCATGTGCTTTTGTAAAATCAGGAAGTCAGAGGCTGGAGAGGTGGCTCAGTGGTTGAGAGCCCTTGTTCTTGCAGAGGACCCTGGGTTCGGATCCCAGCACCCACATGGCAGCTCACAACTATCTCTAACTCTGACTCCAGGAGATCTGACGCCCTCTTCTGGCCTCCAACATTACTGCCTGTATGTGGGGTGTGTGTGTGTGTGTGTGTGTGTGTGTGTGTGTGTGTGTACATGCATGCACAACTCTGGGTGTATGTGTGTTCAGGTACACACTCATACACATGAAATCTTCTTTTAAAAAATTAAGACACTAACAATGTTTACAAATTATTCATTAATCCCCGACCACATTCAAATTTTGTAAATGTTTTGTCATCTCCGGCACTAATATCTGGTCCGGGATCACAGATTACATTTAGACATTTTAATTGTCATTCTATTGTGTTTCTTTGGGGCTGGAGACTGAACGCAGGGTCTCACATGTGCTAAATGCATGCTATACTACTGAGTTAACACCCTCAGCATTTGTTTGTGTTTTAGATAGGGTCTCTCTGGGTAGCCCGAGCCAGCCTCAAGCTTGAGAACCTCCCACCTCAGCCTCCCAAATACTGGGATTACAAGGTATGCACCACTAAACCTGCCCCTGCCACACAGTTACTTACTTATTGTGTGTGTCACACCTTTGGAGGTCAGAGGACAGCCTGTTAGTCAATGGAGGTCAGAGGACAGCCTGCCAGAGTCAATTTTCTCCCTTGACCTTGTGGGTCCTGGGCTTGAACTCAGGTCATCAGTGTAGGCAGAGTTTTCCTGACCCACAGCCGCTCTCAAATAAACACACTGAGACTTAATATTAATTACAATGCTCTGTCAATAGCTCAGGCTTGTTACTAACTAGCTCTTACAACTTAACCCACTTCTATTAATCTATGTGCTTCCCTGAGGCTTGTGGCTTTTACATCTAACCCATTTTGTGTGTCTGACTCAGTCTCCTTGTGGCTGGCAACTCCTCTGACTCCGCCCTTCCTCATCCCATCATTCTCAGTTTGGCTTTCCCACCTAACTTTATCCTGTTCAGCTATCGGCCAGTCAGCTTGTTTATTAAACCAATCGTAGCGACATATATTCCCACAGTGTACAGAAGGATTACTCCACAGCACATCATACTTGATGGCAAACACTTCCACCCTCTGAGCTATCTGGCTAGACCCCTATCTCCTCTCTCTTCAGTTTTTCTTTTTAGATTTAAAATTTTTATTTTATGTGTATGATTTGCATGCTTGTACGTATGCACACCACATCTGTACCTGGTGCCCCAGGAGGCCAGAAGAGGCATCAGATTCCCTGAAACTGGAGTTACAGAGGTCATGATCCACGCTGTGGATACTGGGAACTGAACCCAGATCCTCTACAAGAGCCACAAAGCACCCTTCACTGCTGCGCCATCTCTCAGCCTCTCACCTCATCTTTAATAGTCCCGTGAGAAGTGGAATGGCTGCATTGGCAGGGATGCTTCACAGCTGCACGCCCAGGATGGACCAGTTGCTATTGTGGCTGCTGAGCACTGTACAGTGGGTAAGGCCGAGGAACGGAATTTTCAGCTTTATCCAGTTTTTCTTTTGTGTTGTTGTTTTTATGTTTTCGAGACAGGGTTTCTCTGTGAAACAGTCCTGGCTGTCCTGGATCTCACTCTGTAGACCAGGCTGGCCTCGAACTCACAGAGATCTGCCTGCCTCTGACTTCCTGAGTGCTGAGATTAAAGGCCTGCACCACCTGTTTTAACTTTCAAAGCGTGCAGGTGCATCAAAGAATGTGGCATTCTGGCAAAGGTTAAATGATGGACAGTATAAAGGTCAGTAGTAACTGGGGCTCGGTGAGGAGGAAGGATCAGTAGATGGCATCCAGAGTACTGTTGGGATGAGGAAGCTGTTCTTCCTGGTAATAGTGGATACATGACATTGAACAGTATTCAAAACCCACGAGACATACAGCACTGTCAGCCCTGATGCAAGCTATGGACTTTAGTTAGTAATGTTTAGTACAGGCTGGTGATGTGGCTTAGTAGGTAGAATGCTGGCTTACCATTCACGAAATCTTTGGTGCCATCTCTGGCTTGAGCCAGGTGTGGTGGTGGGCTCAGCAACATAGTGAGTTTGAAGCCAGACTGAGCTACATGAGACTTTATCTGGAAAAAAAAAAAAAAAAGGCAGGCAGTGGTTATTATGAATTATTGCACGGAGGTCGGGGGTGAGGGGGGAGGCAAGGGTATCCCGCGCATGCATGGAAACAGGCTGGGCCAATGTAGCGACTGGCTGGGCAGATGCACCACCATGTGGGCATGGTGGTGGCAGTGGGGGCCAGTAATTCACAACCCAGAGGCTGCATCCACGTGGAGAGTTTATTATAATAGAGAGACAAAGAGAAAGATAGGAGAGGGAGAGAGGGAGAGAGGGAGAGAGGGAGAGAGGGAGAGAGAGAGAGAGGGAGAGGGAGAGGGAGAGGGAGAGGGAGAGGGAGAGGAAGAGGAAGAGGAGGAGTTTTTCCTCAGAATGAGGCTTTTACATCAGAATGCAAGGCAAGCACCAAGGGGGTGGGATTTCAAGGGTCTGATCAGAATATTAACAGTGGTGGTGCATGCCTTTAATCCTAGCATTCAGGAGGCAGAAGCAGGTAGATTTCAGAGTTAGAGTTAACATGGTCTACAGAGTGAGTTCTGGACAGCTAGGGCTACACAGAGAAATCTTGTCTCAAAAAACAAAACAAAACAAAAAAAACCCCAAGCAAGCAAACAAATAAATGAAGGAAGGAAGAAACAAAGAAAGAAAGAGAGGAGCATCAGGCTGGGCGGCGGTGGCGCACACCTTCAATCCCAGCACTCGGAAGGCAGAGCCAGGCGGATCTCTGTGAGTTCGAGATCAACCTGGTCTGCAGAGCGAGATCCAGGACAGGCACCAAAACTACACAGAGAAACCCTGTCTTGAGAAAAAAAAAAAAGCTTTATAATTTTGGTTTTATATTCAGTCCTTTAAACTATTGTATTAAACTTTTCTATATAAGAATTCAATGTTTAGACTTCTGCATATGGCTATTTCATTTTCTCACTACTGTTTTATGAAAAAAATATTCATTACATAATATAAAATATCTACAAAATATTCCCAATGACTGTCAATAAATATGGATTTATTAATATCTTAGTTTCTTTTCCTGTTGTTGTGATAAAATACCTGGACAAAATTGATTTAAGGGCCGGGCGGTGGTGGCGCACGCCTTTAATCCCAGCACTCGGGAGGCAGAGGCAGGCGGATCCCTGTGAGTTCGAGGCCAGCCTGGGCTACCAAGTGAGTTCCAGGAAAGGCGCAAAGCTACACAGAGAAACCCTGTCTCGAAAAACCAAAAAAAAAAAAAAAAAAAAAAAAATTGATTTAAGGGAGAAATGATTTATTGAGTTCATAGCTCCATATTAAAATTCATCACAGCTGGGCAGTGGTGGCATATGCCTTTAATCCCAGCACTAGGGAGGCAGAGCCAGGTGGATCTCTGTGAGTTCGAGGCCAGCCTGTTCTACAGAGAGAGATCCAAGACAGGCACCAAAACTACACCGAGAGACCCTGTCTTGAAAAACAACAACAACAACAAAAAACCCACCAAAAAAACAACGGAAAAAAAAAAAAAAGGAATGCTTGCTGCTCTTCCAGGGGACCAGAGTTCAGCCCCCAGTGCCTGTGTCCCACGTCCCATCACTCACAGCCCCCTGTGGCTGTCCCTCGGGGGTCCAAAGTCTCTGGTCTTTGAGAGCCTCTGCACTCATGTGCATGTACCCACACACAGACACATAATTAAAAATAATACAAATCTTTAAAAATAACGAAAAGAAAAAGAGGCTTTAAACCCAGCCACTTGGGACAGGTAGGAGGTCACACACCTACAGTCTCAGCTCCTTGGGAAGCCCAGGCCAGGGCTTGCCTGAGCTCAGGTGCTGCAGTTTGGATCTGTGTGGGCTTGTCTGCATGTGACACAGCTGTGGCCACTAAGAGCTCGTGGTGACAGTTTGGTCCCAGCTGATGGCACTCGGGGATGGTTAGGAACCTTTAGTGGTGTGGACTGATAGAAGTTACATCAGTAGGTGCACGCCCTTGGAAGACATAAGGACTCCGGGCCCCTCCTTCCTCTCCCTGCTCTCTTCCGCACACCTTCTGGGTAACGCTCTGTCCCACCGCAGGCCAGCAGCAACTGGAACGAGAGCTACGGACCGAAACCGTGAGCTGAGATCTTTTCTCCTGTTGTATGTGCTTTGTCAGTGATAAAGGTGACCAGTAGAACAGGAGTTCAAGTCCAACCTGGGCAACATAGTAAGACCCTGTCTCATAAAAAAAAACAAACCAGAAACTGTGCTTGGTGAAGCACAGGTATGGTCCCAGCTACTCTGGAGGCTGTGGGAGAGGATCTCTGAAGGCCTGGGGTTTCAAAGAGACCCATCTCACAGCAACCACCTATTTTATTTGGGAAAGATATTTCACACTGCACAGGAATGAGATGACAGATCTGGATGAAGTTTATTAAATGAGTTTCGCGTATTTTTTTCTTGAGACAAAAATTCTTAAAGTCTCTATCCTGTAGTGGGTGGGGGCAAAGAATGATCAGATTTCTTCCACCTTGGGGAAAGTAGGACGGGGTATCTGAGACACCCACAGAGGAGCTGAAAGTGGGGGCTCAGGGACAGATGGGGCAGGAAGGACAGACGGAAGGACAGACAGAGCTAAGGGTGCTTGAGGTCTGTGCAGGGCCACGGGGGTGGGGAGACAGGTTCATCCGGGAGTCCATCATGTGTCTGGAACGCAGGATCGGAGAGGAGAGGAAAGACATGAGAGCCACAGGAGGCATGCTGGGAATCCATTTCCTCCTCCATAACTGAAAACTTGGCAGGGCACGGGAGAGCACACCTGTAGTCCCAGCACCTGAGAGGCAGAGCAAGCTGGAGGGTCAGGAATTTCAGGCCAGTTTAGACCCCGACTCAAAAAAGCCCCATGCACTTGGGATGTATCTCGCTGGCAGAGCACAAGGGCCCAGGTTCGATTCCCAAAGCCACAAAATAAACTTAAAACTTACAAAAACCAAGTGGGATGGGAGCTTGAGCGGACCTGCCACCCC